AATGTCACTAACACATCAGATGCTTACTCTAATGCCCCCAACTCAGACAGCCCCTTCCTTAAAGCAGTGTTTAGAAAGAATATATAAACTTTGTATCGTTATGCCATTTTACTGGGCTACAGTTGAAATAGTATGAAAAACTGCATCCAATTATACATTTTAAGAAGTTGAGCCCCCAAATGTAAGATCATGAGAAATTTCTATTTTTTATAAGTTTACATTTTGAAAAAGAAATAAAAATAATAACATTAGCAGTGTTCCTATGTATCTGCCCTAGCCACCTCTCACTTTTTTTTAATTCAAGATAGCATTTAAGCTGTCCTTACTTGAGTAATTAACTGAATATCCTCTAAGAAGCAAAGATAGGCCGACAGTGCTGTAAACAGTACACAGCACAAGGGAGTGCAGAGGCCGCTATATTTGGATTATGGGAGCAAAATAAAGGCTACTAACTTCTTGAGGTCAGCATAAGTCAAACAAGTAATTATTCAGTCCCCAAACTGACACTTAGAATGTTCACCAGTCCCCAGTCCCCAGATCTATAGGATTAGCTTTTTGTTTGTTTGTTTGTTTTGTTTTTTGTTTTTCAAGACAGGGTTTCTCTGTGTAGCTTTGGAGGGTATCCTGGCACGCACTGTGGAGACCAGGCTGGCCTCGAACTCACAGAGATCCCCCTGCCTCCACCTCCCGAGGGCTGGGATTAAAGGCTTGTGCCACCAACGCCTGGCCTAGAATTATTATTCTTACCTTGTGAGATTTATTTTAACCTGATACAAATAAGACACATACCTTAGTATATGGACCTTTCTAACACAGACTGAGCCCTGAAATGAGGAAATTCAAAAGCATGGCAAAGATGCATTGTATTATTGGTGGGGGGAAAAAAATCAAGGAAATAAGCTAGCCATGGTTGCACATATCCCAGTGCCAGAACTCGGGAAGGTAAGGCAGGAAAATCAAGTTGGAGGCCAGCCTGGACATACATACCATGGCTATCTGATGATGATGATGGTGATGATGATGATGATGATGATGATGATGGTGGTGGTGGTGAATTAATTGAAATTTTTGAAAAATAAATAACAAAGCTATGTTTAGAATTCGAATGTGAGAATGAACGCTTTGCTGGTTCTTCCTACCATGTTCATGTGGGCCTTCCTTCCTCCAGAACTGTTTTCTGAACAGGTTTACACATTCAGACTCTTGAGAGAGACTTTCATTCTGTTCATAAGGAGTTTACTGTTACTGTCTTTGAAGCTTTGTTTTGTTCATGTCTCCTGCCCTGAAAAGTAAAAGACTTATAATTTTTGTAGATTCTTACTGTATAAGTCACTTCTAGTTTGCTTTCTGATACTGGGATAAATACATAACCAAACCCCTTGATGCAGAAACTATAGAGAGCACTGCCATTCCTAAGCTCACACACAGCTGCCTTTCCTTAGAGAGACCAGGACCACCTGCCTACAGATGGTTCTGCCCATAGTGTGCTGCCCCTGCCACCTCCGTTCACAAGAACATGCCCCACATGCCCCACAGATATGCCTACAGGCCAGTCTGATGGAGGCACTGCCTCGTGTGGTTTCCCTTTTACCAGGTATGTGAAGTTAACAACCACAATTAGACATCACAGTTAAACATTTGTAAGTTATATAAGATTCACTTTTTTCTTGTTTCTTTGAAGACTCAAATTCTATAGCAAATACATGACTTGTTGTAAATATCACCTTTGCTCTCTTAAATTCTCACTATATTTTTTGAGGCTAAACTATAAGAAATTTTTAAATAATAAGGCAACAGGCCTACTAACCTGAAATTATGAGGTATTTTTTCCCAAATGACTAACTCTCTAATCATTAGCTCTCTGAAATACTGTCAAAAAACTTGCCTAAATCCTAACTTGTCTTGATAAATTCAGTGACTATTCCTTGAGTCACTATCATAAACATGTTTTAATAGATTCTCATCTCTACCTTTAAATATAGTATTTTTAAAATACTAGATAAAATTGACATTTTACATACTAGAAAATGGGGGGCTGCATTTTCCTAATCCTTAGGTAGTACATTTCAGTTTGTTCTACCATTTAACTTGTTATTAGAAGGGTACCTCACACAAAGACTGACCTAATGAATAATGATTTTTAAATTAATGATGTTGATCTCTGCAATTAATCTATTCAATTAATGTTTGATATGCACAAAGTGGCGGTGAGCTCTCCTTTCTCACAGATGTCAATGCTCTAAGCTCCTCTCCCAGACTGCTCCTGGCTTCCTCCAGGTTCATTTTGTCCCTAGTGAAGATGTCCCAACTCTGATTCCTCCTCTTCCAAATAGTTATTCTTCTCTATTTAGATTTATTGAAAAAAATAGAATCACCTATGTGAATATCTTTAAACCTTTGTGTGACTATTCTCTTAATAAAAAATTCTGGCCAGGTGGTGTGGTGGCTCACACCTTTAGTCCCAGCACTCAGGAGGCAGAAGCAGGTAGATCTCTGAGTTTAAGGCCAGTCTGGTCTACAGAGCGAGTGCCAGAAAACAGAGAAACCCTGTCTCGAGGAGAGAAAAAAATATATATATATTCTTAAGAACAGAAACTTTGCCTCTTTGTGAGAAACCTAAATGCTTGTCTAAGTTAGTACCATCGCACGTGCGCGTACGCTCACACACACATACGTTTTTGGTATTTACTGAGAGCCTGGGAGATGGCTCGGCAGGTAAAAGCACTTGTCACCAAGCCTGATGATATGAATTCTACTCCCAGGACCCATATGCTAGAAGGAGAAAAGCTGCTTCTTTCTCCAAGTTGCCCTCTGACTGTCACATGTCTGCATGTGCATACACAGACACACACAATAAATAAATTGTAGTTTTACATTTTAAAGAAAGACCAAATATTTGTTGAAAAAATGAATGGAATAAAGGAACAAATAGCATATATCTTAAAATTTTTCTTGATCATCCTTTAAAGATGATGTTCACCTAAGTGTGTTTCCTTTCTCACTGTGCTTTCTGAGTTTTCCTTCACCATTGGAGGTAAATTTCTGATGTATACCTCTCCAAAAGGTCTGCTCCTTAGAATCCTTAAGAAGAAGTAAAGGATACCAGGCCCCATCCCAAGAATGAGGTTGCAGTTGATATGGCTGACATTGGGATCAGGGTTTGCTATTATTGCTGCCCAGTTCTTAGGGACAGTGTACTGCCTGTGAAGAGTGTATGGCAAGTTTGGGGGTCTCTGGCCCCATATAGGATCTTTGGTGAGTGCTGATAATCCTTTAAAAGTTTGAAACTCACAAGAATGAGGACCAAAGAAATAGATATAAAACTCAGAAAAGAAAAGAAAGGACTGTAAGAAATGAGATCAGGAGAAAGGGGCGAGGTAAACATTGTTTTGTTAGCTAACCACAGAGTTTTGATTTTCCTACATTAAAGGAGAAAAGCCAGACTGTAGAAGAAAATTGCAGATGATGTAGAGCCTCAGATATCATACCTGTTATTTAATTGAAAGTACCCAGAAGGCTCCATATGACCAGAGACCTTTTTTCTCTATTATATAGACATTGCTGCCTTTCCTTAGCCACCCTCACAGCCCGTATATTAAAAATGGGCATGGTGAATGCATTCAACCTCTTTTTCTGATCTTTAGAGAGAACGCCTCCACTTTGGAGCTGGAGAGATGGCCCAGTGAGTAAAAATGCATACTGACTGCACTTGCAGACAGAGGGCCTGAGTTCTGTCGGGGTGCACCATGTAGCTCAGGTCGGTTAAAGAAAGAAGGTGCTCCAAGATGAAATTTTAAGGCCTATGTGGCAGCTGGCAGGTCCACCCTCTCTGATGGACTGAACCCCAAACAGCTGTACAAATGTGATTTTATTGATTGTTACACAAAGTATTTCCTTACTGAAGGGTAGCGTCAGTGCCCCTGACTCGTCTTTATTATGTGTAGTTGGCCATACACAATAATACAAGAGCCTTGGGTGTGCCTGAGGCATCTTGTGACCAGAGTCATGGGATGGCTGCAATGCTCCTTCAGCAAAACAATCACTAGTTTCCACAAGGATTCTTCAAGGTCAAAGTACTTTAAAAAAACGCCTGTTCATTCTGCTACCTACTGCAATACAGCGACTGCAAGTTCCTACAATAGAGTTCAATTTCCAGCACCCATGTCTGGTGGCTGACAACCCCTGTAACTCCAGCTTCAGAAATCCATTGCCCTCTTCTGGACTCTGTGGGCACCTACACCCATGTATGCATACTCACACACACACACATACACATTTAAAGTCTTTTTTAAAAATCTTATAAAAAATACTTGTACTGTGTGAATAATTAGTAAAAAAATAGCCTATAAACACATTGTTAGAGCATACCCTGGGAAAAAAAACCAATCTAGTGGTGCTTGCTCAGAAGGTCCCATAAATGTGTGACTTTGGTGTAAATAAACTTACAAGTAATATATGTCATAAAATTTCAAATTTGAATAATAATTACCTGACTAAGCAGATATTTATTTCTATAGACAGCCTCTTTTTTTTTCTCTATAGACCATCTTAATTAATCCTCAAAATATTTATTGTTTGGGAAGCTGAGTTAGGAAAAGTCAAAACCATTCTGAGCTATACAGTAAAACCCAATCTCAAAAAGAGCATTATTTTATAACTTCTATAAGAAAGGATACAAAGGGAAAAAAATACTGAAAAGCTTGCCCATGTCAGGATCTGAACTCCAATTCAGCTGGCTCAAACCTCAGTCTTTGTTAGAAGTGTTATAGTAGGATGTAGGCGGGTGTTGCATTACCATAACACCCCCCCACACCCACACACACACCCAATTTCCATTAAATTATTACTTGTAAGCAATGACTTACAAACAAGCCTGGAGTGTAATTATTTACATGTTTAGGATTGTTTGGTTTTGAATTTGGTTTTCACTTATTGACAGTTTCCTAACATGTATTTGAGGTGTGTTTATATATTTATGTACTTATTTTAAATAATCACAGTTCACAGAAGAAAAGCTTGGCCAAGCAGAGAAGACAGAATTGGATGCTCACTTGGAAAACCTCCTTAGCAAAGCGGAATGTACCAAAATATGGACAGAAAAAATAATGAAGCAGACTGAAGTGCTATTGCAGCCAAATCCAAGTAAGATACTTTGCTCCTCATGTACCCTAAGTATTGCTAGTAAATATTTTTAAGGTTCAAAGTAGAGTCTGTGTCTGCCGAGTCTGTGGCTTTTTTATTATGTGCATTTAGGCTAGGAAGAGATGGTGAAAGTTTCTGTATACTTCCTAACAAGTTTAAACACTATTAGAGTCCTGACATTTTAAGTCTCATATTTTCCTGTAAGTTATTACACTTGAGTTTTGGATAACCATAAAGTGTTTAGGGTCACACAAGTCAACATAACCTTGCAAATGGGATTGTTAAGTGTGCCTCTTATGCAAAGTAGCAAGCTAACTGGAAGTGGAGCTTCAACTAGAACCAAATGTATAGACATCTAGTCTTTTTAAGTTGTGCTTTAAATATCAAAACTAAGGGGAAAAGGCAACAATGCCTGTTTTCCTTTCCCTGGTGCCATTGTGAACACCTTGTGAAATTTGAGTCTAGTAACCTTTAAAAATGCAAGCCTTGAGTGAGACTTTGTATCTTTGGTCACCATGGGCACAGTACAGTATTTCTTGGTCATTAAAGAATATGTAAGTTATTCACACCTATACTTTAAAACTGCTGCTGTTCTTTTTCTGACCAGAGGTCCCATATCTGTTTATAGTTTGTAAGCTCAGTGACTGGCAAATAGCGGAATATAATACAGTGCCTGCCTGTCCTGCTCTCCATTGTTTTCCAGCAAGTAAATCGGGTTGATTGTTCAGTGCTATGACTATAAAATTATATAGACTTAAAGTAACCTTTTATTTTCCCTGAAAGTCCTGTAAGTTTGATATTTTTAAGAAATATGCATAAATACATAATGTTACAGCAGAATTGCCTACATATATACATATATATTTACTAATATACTGTGTGTATGTGTGTGTGTGCATACATACATATATACATACATACATACATACATACATACATACATACATTTGTTGTTGGCATACATACATACATACATACATACATACATACATACATACATACATACATTTGTTGTTGTTTTTTGGTTTTTTCTAGACAGGATTTCTCTGTGTAGCTTTGGAGCTATCCTGGCACTCGCTCTGGAGACCAGGCTGACCTCGAACTCACATAGAAAGGCATGCGCCACCAACGCCCGTATTTTATTTACTGGATCAAAATCAATTTAGAGTTGCCCTTTTGACTCTTGACCATATAGGTCAAATGCAATTATAACTGAAAATCACAATCAGAAACATGAACCCTGATCAGCATTCAGAGGTGGTTATTTCAAAATGACTCATTTTGGTTGGCAGTTAAGGTTTTGGATTTTTGGGTTTTGTTTTTGTTTTGAGGCAGGGTGTCACTGTATAGCTCTGACTGGCTTGGAACTGACTAAGTAAATGAGGCTGGCCTCAAACTCACAGATAATCTACCTCTGCCTCCAGAATTCTGAGACGAAAGGCATGAGCTGGTATGCCTAACTAATTAAAGGTTTTTAAGTTCTGCTTTAAAATTCTTACAGTTTTGCAGAAGACTCTGCTAAAAAAGCTAGTATTCTTTTGGCATCATCTAATTCATATATTTTGTATATTACAAACTAACCCTTTTATGTATTATAAGTAACATTATTTTGGCCAACTTGTAAAGTATTTTCATTACTATTGCAGGTCCTTAAAACGCAAACAAAAACACTTTTCACTGTGGTTCAGGAAGACAACAAATGTTACACTCTGACCGCCATACATGGGCCCATGTGTGTACATATGAGCACACGTTTTAGGTGTCATACTGCCGGTGGATCTGAAGACTGTTCCAAGGCAGGACGGTCATAGCCCTCACGCTCTGTGTCTGTGTCTGTGTCTGTGTTTAGATTCTCTGTAAAAGAGAATTAATACATGTTCATGCTAAAACATGTAGATGTGGTTCTTGGATCTTAGATACTTTGTGTACATATTTCTGTAGCTAAATATCCCTGATTTTAAAATGATGAACATAACTTTAGAGTAGATTAAAGGCAACTTCACTGGATATTAAGTTTATAATTCCTCTTCTGAAACTTAAGATCTCAAAGAATACCCAGATAACTAGTTTAACTTTAGAATATTTTTGTACTGAGATACATTACCAGGTTTTAAACTATAAACCTTTAGAGATTATGTAATAGTCAACATATAATTATATATGATTAGACTTAAAGATGCATACTTGAATAAATGCTAATTTTATATTTTCAGAGGTAGTGAGTGGCTGGAAGGAGAGCAGACTTTTAAATCATTTTGCTCTTTTGAAATAATTGCTAATTTATGTAAAATTATTTTCATTTGTTTTGGTTGGGGGGGTTTCCACTGTGGAGTTGAGGCTGGCCATGGACTGGAGTGTTTCCCCCTCCGCCGCCCTCCCCCAGTGCTGGAGTTACTGGTGTCCACCATGCCTGCCCTTTTCCCGCTTTTGAAACACTGGTGTTCTAACCTTTCTCCTAGATGCCAGGATAGAAGAGTTCGTCTATGAGAAACTGGATAGAAAAGCACCAAGTCGCATAAACAACCCAGAACTTTTGGGACAATACATGATTGATGCAGGGACTGAGTTTGGCCCAGGGACAGCTTACGGTAAGTGAAAGGTTCTAAAAGGAAATCACTTTACATTTAGATCTTTACTATTCAAAAATATCAGCACATGGTAGAATCAGTTTAACTGTGTTTATTATATTAAACTTTTGATAGAAAAATATAGTTATTTAGAGCATTCACCTCTTTCTTAGCTCTAAAAATTAAATGAATTCATGTTATTAGTCTTCATTACCTCGTTGTAGTGTAATTGTTGTAATGACTTACATTAAAACTTTCAGTGCCTATTCATCTTACATTGAAAATACTTCACACATCAGCACCCAGGATATGTTAGTAGTCATCTCCTCTGGATACCTACAATGCATGGTATTCCCAGTCCATGCTTTCTGTCTTGTGTTGACAGTAAGTAACCCAGCTATGTTAGTTCCTATACTATCATTACATTTTTTTGGCTCTGTGTACATGTATGTGAATTCATATGTCTATATAGATGTGTGTGTGCATGCCACAGTGCTTACGCAGAGATCAGAGGACAACTTGTGGGAGGTAGTGCTTTCTTCTATCATGTGGCTCCCAGGTCAGACTCAGGCTGACAGGCTTAGCAGCAAACACCTTTACCTGTTAAGCTATCTCTGGCACTATGGGGACCTCAAAATTCCATATTTCTATTGTCAGGCCTAATTTTCTTATGACATAGGACTACAGATTTCTATGCTAATATTCTCTGTGTCAGAAGGAAATAAACCTGAATTTTAATGCTACTAGTCAACTGAATATATACACATATGTGTGTGTGTAACATTTAAGTATTCTTTGTAATCTAAATCTTTAAGAAATCTGAAATTAAATTGTAACTGCTAATATTAGAGAAACGTCATGCCTTATTGTTTGCTTGTTCTGAGCTAATAAAGGCCCAGCCCCTTTCTTTAGCTAACAGAGATCTAGGAGAACATGAATACTAGAATATTTTAAATTTCTCTTTCTCTTAATCTATTTGTACTTCTAGTAATTCTGGTGAATGTATCCTGATAATTGAAATTAGACTTTGAGAATCTATTAATAGAAAATAGTGGCTAAAAAAATGGGTCTCCTGGCATTGGTCTAAGCACAATATAATATGTTTGTTATTTTGGTAAATCCTCACTTTTTATGTCTTTTAGAGTTTTGAGACAGGGAATTGCTACATAACATAGCAATAGAATATTTAATAGTATAAATTCTGTTGTGTCCATTTTAAAAACAAGGAAATATCTGTGACCACACAGATACCAATTCAAATGCAGATGTCTGTATTCAGAGACAGGAGTTCTTAACTCCTTACCGGTTGGGATCTAATCTCATGTTAAACTGATCATGTGCTTCTCTTTCTGTCTGCTCTACTCTAACTGTTTGAATATCTGGGCATAGTTTAAAAACAAAACACAACTTTTTGTTCCTTTGCAGGCAATGCCCTTATTAAATGTGGAGAAGCACAGAAGCGAATTGGAACAGCTGACAGAGAGCTGATTCAAACATCAGCCTTAAATTTCCTCACTCCTTTAAGAAACTTTATAGAAGGAGATTACAAAACAATCACAGTGAGTTGGAAATAACTCCGTTTGTCACATAATTTAGACTATGCTTACTTTTTAATAGATGATCTACCCTCCTTGTGGTGGTGATGTTGCAGACTAAACGCTTGCATATCTGAGCAAATATTCATCAGAACACAAACTAAACCTCAAGAAAAGACTGTTACTAACATAATTCCTAGTTTTTAATGCCACATTGTTAATATGCCTGTACATTGATTTTTGTGCATTACCAACACTCGAATCTATGAAGAAATTCCTGTAATAATTATGAAAACAAAATATTGTTAAAGTATGCTTGCTTGTTAATTTTTTTTTATTTGGGTTTTGGGGTGTGGGGGATTCAAGACAGGCTTTCTCTGGGATTTGGGAGTCTGTCCTGGAACTAGCTCTTGTAGACCAGGCTGGTCTCGAACTCACAGAGATCCCCCTGCCTCTGCCTCTTGAGGGCTGGGATTAAAGGCATGTGCCACCAATGCCCAGCTCACTTGCTTGTTAAACTGGAACTAGAAACCTACTAGTTATTTTGGCTCCTATACTTTATCTGTGTATTCCAAGAAGTGTTACTACTTTTAAAATGCTATTTATTGCCTAATCATTTATGTTGTCATATTTCTTTCTAAACTTAATCTGTTAGTCCATAAAGCTTGTCTTATTACTGACAAAAAAATGAGCTTTAAGGATATTTTTCTCTAAGACTTCCTCAGTGCTGCTCATTGTTGTACATACAACCTCAGACTTTAATTTGCATATTCTATACTACAGAATGTCCTAGGAAGTTTCAGTATGCTCAACCATGGCTTTATCTCTGTAAGGAGATATGTAAGGAGTTTGGGCTTGACCTAAATTGATATAACTAAAAACGATACTAGCTTAAGCCAAGACTATGGCTCAGTAGTAGTGCCTGATGAAGGCTGAGGTTTAGTCACCTCCATTAAAAAATAATAACATGTCAGATGGATGAAATCTGATACATAGAATATAAAAATTAAGAAAACAGACTCTTACTACAGTTGGTATAAAGCATTATACAGTAACTTGAGTTATGTTTATGTATTATCCAGTCTGTAAATTTGAAATTCTGTTTTGCAATAGTTGAGTTACATTTGGTGCTATGACATATTAAAATTAGCCTGCCCAGTCTGTAAGGCAAATCACATAGGACTTGACAGAGCCATGTCCTAGGCCTCTCTAAGAGTCTGAGACAGCTTCTTAGCCTGGCCACCCCGACACTGCAGGCCAAATGGCTCCTGGTTGTGGGAGCCCACACCTGCATTGCAGGATGGCTGGCAGCATCCCAGGCTTCTGCCTGGTAAATGACAGCTGAAGATAGTGCCAAATGTTCTCCAGACGGATCCCTGGTGGAGGGAAGCATATGGGAAGATACTAAAACTCATACACCTTTGTTTCTGGAATTCAGAATCTGGAATGTTTTGAAGTAGTTTTAAAGGGTCAGGGAGGGGGAATGTTGGGTATAATATACTGGTGATCATAGCATTCAGAGAGCAGAGGCAGGAGGATTGCCACATTTCAGGGCCAGTTTGGTCTGGTCTACAGAGTGAATATTCTGTCTCAAACAAACAAAAAGGAAAGGCACCTGCGAGGTCACTGCCTCTTTATGAACTGACACACATACTCCATGCAGAGTGATTCCTTTAATGTGGATGGTCTTACACATTTTAGCCTCCTTAGCTTTACTTTGTTCTTTTTGGTTATTTATAGAAAGAAAGAAAACTATTACAGAATAAGAGACTGGATTTGGATGCTGCAAAAACGAGAGTTAAAAAGGCAAAAGCTGCAGAAGCTAAAAGTTCAGTAAGTAGTGTATACTTCTCTGCTTCTAATAGAAAAACATTTTGGCTTAATAACTTGAAAGACTGTGAAATATTTTACTAGTACACCATGCAAGTACAGAGTACAGAATAGTGTATGGCAGCATTTGGGGTGTGTTTTTGTTTGGAAACAGATTGATCAGAACTAAATACATCCAAGTCAGTACAAAATAGTCATTATCAAGAGGTATTAATCACTAGCACTGAGGTAGGCCCTACAGCTGCACTGGCTAATATGTTTTTTAAAGATTATTATAGTGGGAAGTGGGGAAAGATTTTAATTAAGATGAAAATGAATCAAGTTTGAGGAGATTTGCCTATGTCTTAAAAAATAAGTAATATCTAACTCAAAATAAATAAAGGAATTGTCACCAAGAATAGTTGCAAAAGATTAAATAGTGTTAACATGGTTTCCAGGTAGCTTTTTCCATAACTATTTATCCATATTATGGATAAATAAGTTCTGGAATATTTTTAGAAAACCAGCCCCTAAAATAGTTTTTTTTTTTGTTTGCTTGTTTTTTGTTGTTGTTTTGTCTAACTTTTATTAAAAGGTTTTAGCTTTAAACTTTAATAGATACACTGTCTATATTTTCATTCTACTGTGTACAGTACTTAAATTAGATTTGAATTGTAACAGTTTGAAAATAGCGTAATATAAACAAGAACAAGTTGTTAGAGGAAGCTATTGTTTTAATTAGAGCATAGGGTGTGTTTTGTTAAGAGGCGTGTATCTGGACTCCCCCCATAGCCGCAGTCATTTCATAATACGGGAATAACTAGAATGGCTAGTGGTCGTGGACACTTTTCTTTGGTGAAGGAAAGGTTGAAAATTGTTATATCGTGAAGTTAATACTTTGTATTATCTACTGCTGGGGAAGGGCTGGCTTCAATAAGATATTAACTGCCCACCACTTTCATTTTCACTTCTCTAGATTCTCCTGACATCCTCACTTCAGTGTGGTTTCCATTAAACAAATCCCCCCAGGATTAAAGATGATAAAGGAACTTGGCAGGTGGCATGAGGTCCTAAGTTAGTTCAGGGGTCTCTAGTTGTTACTGAAATGATTCAGTATGACTTTACTTTTAAGATACTAACTTTATAATCAGAAAAATCTTAACAAGGATCATTGGGAAAAATTATCAAAAAAAAAAAAAACTTTGATGGCTGTGGAATAAGAATAATATTGCCAAGTTCCAATACAAATGTTTCATTAACAACCATTATGGTGATGGTCTGTTTTTCAACCTAGGAAAGTGCCAGGAAGCACACAGATATAACTCTAACTGCCCTTTGATTATTGATTATACTAACACTGTGTAGCGCCACTGCTAGGATGCACAGGAACCAAACAGTCACCTTCCGAAAGACGGTTCTTCTCGATACCTCTGCACAAGTTGGCAATTGATACAGCCATGAAAATTCAAGTTCAAAATTAAAAGATGATGCAGATGGTATATCCCAGCAATTTATGTAAAGGTTTTTAGAAAATTACTACATGATACAAACAAAACTTATCTGTAGCCAAAATAATTAGTCCAGACAAAAATTCTATTTTTATTTTTTCTCTGCATGACTCATTCTTCAAACATTATTGCCGTAGTCTGAATTACTTTTGGCCTGTCTTTCAAGTCCATGAAATCAATAGAGACTGCTGGCAGTTTAGTTTTCTTTCTTTTTTTTTTTTTCCTTCTGATACATTTCTTGGTTTTGAGTTGGCAAGTAAAGAGGATATTTCTTACCCTAGATATTGTTTCATTTCACTGTTTTGTTTTGTTTTTTATGTGGATTTTTTTGTAACTACCCATTACTGTCCAAATTAGGTTTGGGAGCTAGGTTTATCCCTACTTTCTAAAATAACTTCATTTACTGTTTTCCTGGTCTTGCTCTTTAAATTCTCTTTGTATTGAATACTAATTTTGTGAAATGTTCTCTAAAATAAAGTCCATTAATAGTGCAAAATTTCTGCTATCCTCAATTCACAAATTATTAAACTTGTTGATGATTTAACCTTATCATTTTTTAAAAGTTTTTAATGTATTATATATATATATATAGATAGATATATATATAGATAGATATAGATAGATAGATAGATAGATAGATAGATAGATAGATAGATCGATCTGTATCTGGTATTGACTAATTTCTGTTTTCTGGTGTAGTGTATTGAAGAAAGGTAAAACATCAAAAGCATTTTCTCAAAAATACAGCAGCTTAGTGAAAAAGAAAATAAGACTTCTGAGAGAGGGACTCAGCCATAGAATGCTTACCCTGGATTCCGTTCCCTGAATCACAAAATAAATAGTAATAATAAAATAAACAAAACTAGACATATATGCACCTGTAATCCCAGTGCTTGGGAGTTACAGCTCCCTTCACTGCAGACACCATGACACCAAGGCCAGCATGGGGTAAGTGGGAAACTGTCCCCCCAAAACAAAACAATAAACAATTCTGTCAGAGAGACAAGAAAACAACTGGAATTGGTACATTTAAATTGTATTTGGTAACCTAATTATGATACTAGCTTTTTAAAAATTTGTCTAATGAGAAAAAAAATTGTTTTTAGTGTTTTCTAACCTTTAAAGGAACCTGAGAGAAGATGGCCCTTCAGATAATTTACAGAGTGTTTGTTCTCTCTGTGGACATAAGCCTTCACCCTACATCCCAGTAGGCTAGAGCACTGTTCCGTAACCACAACCCTCCCTGGACACCTTGGCATTTTCAGTTTGTGAGAAATACAGGAACTGCATGCCTTTCATATTCTGATGAAGATCTGTCTGAGAACTGAAACAGAAAATGGTTAGAGGTGCCAAAAATTCACAGAATAGAAAGGAGCTTTAAATAGGAAGCTTGTTGGTATGAAGTAGGCTTTCATAGATGAAAATTTGATTTTGTTAGTTAATTCGTAATTTTTAAAGAGGTATGTTTCCCCCAAACAGATCTGATTTGAAATTAAGTAGCTGGTTTTTGTTTTGAAAATTCTGTAATGGGTAGGCACCACTACATGACATATGTAGAAAAACAAATAGTTTGTTGTTGTTTAAATAGAAAGAGCGTGTCCTTCCTCTCTCTCTCTCTCTCTCTCTCTCTCTCTCTCTCTCTCTCTCTCTCTCTCAGTGCCTGATCAGCATGTGCTTTATTTATTGTGCAGATGTAACTCCTTTCGGTGTGTTCATAGGTATAATGTGTTCTTTGTCTCTCACCTATGCACTTAAGCAACTAAACTCCGCCCGGCTTGAAGGAGATAACATTATGGTAAATTTCTCTTACATGCTCAACTTCCTGCATGTAAAATGGCTGAAGGTTTGTTGGCCTACTGTGTTTTCTACATCTTCAATAAAATGCCTTCTCTTGCTATTTGCTGCATGTAGAAGTCAAATGGCTGAAGTTAAGCATTGATTATGTCCAGGCAAAAAATGCCAGTTGAAGTGATATTGAAACTTGAAGAACCACCAAATTTGTTGGTCATGCCAAAACAGATTTTAAAATCATAGGTGTGTAATGCTGTTTTACATCTAGTAAATGTGGTAGTTTAGTGGTAGTTTAGGCTGAAGTTTCATAGTGTTATTTTAGCAATGAAAATTAACAAGATTTACCTTACTTGAAAGGCAGTAAAAGTATACAAATTGACTTCATTTTTTTGTTCTTTTACTATATTGTTATTGAAATTCAGTATAGAATTATTTTGTCTGCCATTCCAGATGAGACAGAGTCCAGTGACCAGGCCTATTCCATATCCAGGGCTAACTCCCTTAAATAACTTCCTGGAATAAGAGAATGAAAATTGTTTATAATAGCTGGTGTACATATTTAGCTCAGATTAAAGAAAGTTTTGAGATGCTAGGCTTGTTTTTGATTTTTTTTTACTTTAATTAAAATTATGTGAATATAAGAAAACAGTTAATTCATGTCAGCCTCTAGCAATTCATAGTCCTTGGGGCTGGGTACATGGTTCAGTCAGTATAGTGCTTGCCTGAGTTTGGTTTCCCCAGCACCCACATAAAATAAAATAAAAAAAATAAAAAGTGTATTTTAGTGCCTGTCTACAACCCCAGCACTGGAGGCAGAGGTAGAGACAGGAAGATCCGTGGAGCCAATTGGTAAGCTCCAGGTTCAGTAAGAGCTCCTGGTCAAAAAGTAAGGTGGAAAGCAATGAAGGAGGACACCTAAAGTCAATCTCTGCCCTCTCCATACATGTACATTGTCGCCACTGCCAACCCCAACACACACACACACACACAAACACACACACACACACACAGTACATATACTAAACACACACACAAAAAGTTAATTCTTGGAATTATATTCTAGATAAATTACTGCCATTTAAAGCGGCAAGAAATCAGTAGTCTATTTAATAATTAATGGGTCATTGTTGATTGGTATTTGCCTTTGTTTTCGACTATTAACTTTTGAAGTCCTGGCTAAATAACAGTGTTCTTATATAGCAAGAGAATGTATTTATTTATTTCCATTGTCCTATCTATAGGTAATTGAAAAGGGTGAGACTATTTCAGTCATTTTTAATTTTGTATAAATCATAGGTTTCCTTTTGTTCATGGTAAAAATATTCTAAACTATTAGCAAGACTTTGCTTGATTATTAAGAGCATTTGTTTTATAGCTGTTTATCATCTACTTACAATAAGATATTTAACTAGAAATCTTAAATTTATTATATTTCAAATTGATTGTTTCTCCCCAGAAATAGTTTCATCAGTAACACTCAGTGTCTATATATCCTTGTTTTTATTTACTAAAATTTTAGGATTTATACCTCAAAGTTAGAAATCCTGTAGTTTAAACCTCCCATTTTACAAGAGAGACTATAGGTTCTCTATAAAAGCTCAGACATTCTCAATTTAAGGAAGCTGTTACTCTTATTTGTAGAGTCGCCATAAGTTTTAAAAGTTGGTATTGTTAGTACATATAAATAGACAGACTTCATAATATATTCAGCTCTACTGATTTACATTACTACTGTGTTCATTTTCTAAGGGGGAGAAATATGCCATTTAAACTAAAGTATATAAACTAAACTATACTAAGTTGTAGGAAATGTGTAACTCCAACTTTATTTCATGCTCTATATTTCTCTCTAATTTTTAATGCTGGCTAGATTTGGGCAGAGGAAGTAACAAAAGTAAGTAAAATTTTAAACTGCACAATTGTGAAACCAGAATTGATGTTCATTCAGTAAACATTAAATGAGCACCAGCCTTGGAGCTACTGACAATTTTGGCCTATGTTACAAATCTTTTAAAATCTGAAAATTAAGGAAATTGTCATGTGTGTTTACTATTAGCAGTTCCATACAGCAGTAGAATTGCACTCCACAGATGCTGTGTACACCATGAGGAATCCTAGACAATAGATAAGCAAGTGGTACTCATACAGTGTGTTGCTAGCAGACAAGTACTTGATACTTGATTTATTCATTGACAGTTATTTTAAATGTAAAGAACACCAAATGCTATGACCTCCTGTCTTCAGAGAACTGGGTTTCAGGGAAGTAAAGGTGTGGTTCTCCTGAGCCCTAAAATGACATTTTCTGTCATTTAGTAGAATGTACCTGTAAAATGTATAAACTATAGCTACATAAAACGCAGTCTAGCAAATATTTATAGTCAGTGTCATCATTACAATTTCGTCATGATACAATGTGACAATTAGATGATTAGATTTTTGTCTTCTCCCTCAGTGTTATACTGCTACTTGTGAAAGCCATCCGTCTGCTTGTTACCATCTCTCACTTTCTCTTGGCTGGGAAATCAAGTTTTAACTCAAGAAAATTGTGATTTTTAGTGCAGATTCAATTCAAATGTTATTTTAGGTCTTCGGACATTTGTCATTTACTTTCCATTCTCAGGCTTACCAAAGTCTGCATTCCAAATGAAGGATAGGTACTAACTGTGGCCTCAGATAGTTAAATAGGTTGGTAAGCCTTAACTTTGATTTTATACTTTTAAAATTGCTGATTATACAGTGTGTTTCATGCATAGTTTGTTGAGCTGTTGATTGTGTTGTTTGGCAGTGCAATGGGAAATGCTTGATTTAAGGTCATATCTTCCTGTGTAGAATCTTAATCAACCTAGTGTGGTCCCACCCCTCCAACATGAAAAGAAGGCAGACCAGCATGTGAGAGAATATAAGTTGAACCATGAAATCAGAATATAAAATACCATGACCAAAAACAACCTAAGGTAGAAAGTTTAATCTGGTTTATGGTTCCAGAGGGAGAGTCCATCATGTCAGGGAAAGCAACAGGAGCAGGAAACTGAATGATTACACCTTACATCTTTATCCATTCATAGGAAACAAAAAGAGAAAACAGGAAGTGGGCAAGACTTGCAAAGCCCACCCACAGAACTGTACTTCCTCCAGTAAGGTGCACCTTCTAAACATTCTATAACCTCCTGTCTTAGGGTTTTATTCCTGTGAAGAGACACCATGACTGTGGCAACTCTTATAAAGGAAACATTCAGTTGGGGGTAGCTTACAGTTTTAGAAGTTTAGTACATTGTCTTCATGGCAGGAAGCATGGCAGCACACAGGCAGATAAGGTGCTGGAGAGATCTGAAGGCAGCAGGAAGAGCAAGACAGTGGGCCTGGCTTGAGCATTTGAAACCCAAAGCCCACTCCCAGTGACACAATTCCTCCAACAAGGCCACACTTCTGATAATTCCACTCCCTATGTGCCTGTGGGGGCTATTTTCAGTCAAACCACCACACCCCTTAAAGTAGATCACCTGTGGACCAAGTGTTCAATGCATGAGCCTATGAAGGATGTTCTTCATTCAAACCACCACTTATGGCATCTTTCTTTAGTACAACCTCATTAAAAGATTTCTGTCTGCAAGACTGAAAAGTAGTTGGTGTAGTAAGTAAATGGGGGAAATTTATATTTTAAAAAATGCCTGTTATATAAGAGTATATGAAAACACAGGAAATTTGTCTAAATGGATTTGAGACTTCTATCATTTTATAATTTTAAAAATTATAGAATTCAAAACTGTATGTTCCTGAAGACCTAACCTAAGCCCATAAATAAGTAGGTAGTCAACCAAGATTGTTGGAGCAAATGCCTCCAAATGATGAGCATTTCTAGCATATAGGTGCTGAGTCGTGATACCACCACCCAATAGCTTGTCCATTTTCCAAGTTACATCTTAAAGGGGCTCTTAAAATAAACTCATCCCAAACTGTGATAGTAAATAGGCAGCTTGCTAACAGTAATTCTTCAATGATTTTTTCCCTACAAATCTGTACCTCAATTGTAAATGAAGTCTAGAAGATCAATGATTATTGGTAAAATTCAATGTCTTTAAGCCTCTTATGTATCATTTCTTCTTCAGTGAACTGATCACGTTTATTATCCTCTATATGTTGGGTGGATGGACAGTTTGGGACATTTGACTCTTTATAGCAACCTTGAAATTTACACTGGAATTTGTTGAAGAGATGAGGTTCATTCCTGCTGGTTATTGCTCAGAATCTCAAGTCTAGATGATGCAGTGTGACTGTCTAAGCTTCATAGTGTGCTCCTGCTCAGCTGACGTTAAGCATGACATTTTAGTCAAGTCTAGAAAACTTAACGCCCTGGCTTTGGTGAGCTCAGCTAATCCCGTCCTTGTTTCCTTTCCTTGCTATTAAAGCATCATCATCATTTCACCTCAGCTTGTCATTTCTTTACATTTGTAGAAGTAGCCCATATTATAACAGAGCTGGGTGGAACCAGCCCAGCTTACCTTTGACATTCATTTGTTTTGATTTGCTGGAGGTTTTTCTGTTAAGAAAAGCCATTTTGTCATCCATCAAGCAGAATAGTAAATAAATGTGAGTGTAATGTAATGTGATTGAGACCTCTATGCCTTCTGGAAAAAGAACACTGATTCTTTTCATGAACTTTTTCTGCTTCCTATTGTCTTCCAGATAAAATTGACTTTAGGCCTCCTAAAGTATTTGGTTTTACTTGAAGTTAATGTATTAACTTTAATTATTGTGTAATATAAATCAAGCTTGTTTTCACAAAATAAACTTAGTGGTCAACACTTACTTAGTCCCCTCCCCCAAGTCTGCTGCCAGTAGGGTATTCAAGCAACCGACAGACCATGCAAGTCTCTGTTAGCTGCTCATGAGGGTATTTTGTCAACAAAGGGTAAAAGAGATAAAGGAAAAGTGTGTGGCCTTGCTTCATTACATCTAAGAAAGCATGTCAGTTGTTTGCATATGGGTAACTGCATGCTAGAGAGTCCGTCACTAGATGATTTCCAGTAGTGAAGTTAAGCTCATTGTTTCAAATAGGCTGTGAAGTTTTATTTTTCCTCCTCATTTTCCTACCACCCACTTCTAACCAAAGTTTTGAGATACTAATATTTGGTATACTTACTTAGTTTTTCAGTGAACTGTTTTGTTCCAGCAGTAAACAGAAGCCAGTAGTGCTGCCTACTTCTCATTTTCAAAGCCAGAGTATTTATATCATTCGTGCAGAGCAGAATGTTAGAGAACTTCCTTTTCCTTAGAAGCCGCGTGCTAGCACAACACTGATCAAAAAACTTTTAACCCTAGTCTTAATAAATGATGCTAATAACAAAGCCTATTATACATACTTTAGAGAGAAATTACAAAAGAAAGAAAGTTAACTGTAGGACAACCAAGAACTGTCTTAGCAACAAGTGTTTAGTAACTAAACACAAGAGGTGGGAATCCTATGGCTGTGCTCTTGTAGTCTTTGATTTGAAATTGAAGACTGTTGTTAACTTAAGTACAAAAGAAAAGCACACAGTAATAATTTGGAGTTTTTGAAAATAATATTGTTTTATAATTATAAAACTATGGTACTCAGTATTTTGTAAAATACTTCAGCAAAATACTAAAAAAGGTATATGGTATCTTGACTGTCATATGTCTTCAGACTATTAAGCTTTGATATGAGTCAAGTGTTGGTGTTTGGTGACACAGATAGGTCCTGAAACTAAAGACCAAGAGAGAGAGAGAGAGAGAGAGAGAGAGAGAGAGAGAGGAGTGGGGGGGAATGAGAATGAATTAGGGAATCTTGAAATCCTTATTTGGAGTATATTGGGATTTGGAGAGGTGGGTCTGTGTAAAGTGAACTAAATCTTCTAATGAGATCCTTAAAGTATGTTCTAACTTAAGTCTGAACAGGAATTACGAATAACTCAAAGTGAATTTGATCGTCAGGCAGAGATTACCCGACTTCTGCTGGAGGGAATCAGCAGTACCCACGTGAGTATTAAATCATCCTCAAGAAAAGACGCTGAGACAGCACTTAGGCAGCTAGGGAGGAATTTGTGAAGTTAAAGGCACCCTGAGCTGCATACAGACACTGCCTTTAAAGAGAGCTCCTTGGGTCAGTTGTCAGTCAAGGAAAGTTTCAAGTGTGAGATTTTAGAAGGGATCTGAAGAAATACTTAAATTTTCTCTTACATTTCATCACTCCTTTTTTTTCCCATTTCATAAATCCACATGTTGGCTCTTCTTGATAAACAAAGTTTGTCAGTTTATTATTCACCAGTAATTAGTTTTGATGAGCCTGATCAGAATATGAGCATTAATAAGCTTTACAGTAGGATACTACAGGTTACCTCCTTCACAGCAGTGTTATCCTGTGTTCTGCCTTAGCTTGCGCCACTTGAAGAACTTCTGAGAACTGACTGCAACTTTTCCATTCCAGGCCCATCATCTCCGCTGTCTGAATGACTTTGTAGAAGCCCAGATGACTTACTATGCACAGTGTTACCAGTACATGTTAGACCTCCAAAAACAACTGGGAAGGTAGCAATTTCCTTTTCCTAAATGAAAGTCATGATGGGGAGAGTGGAGACTGGAAAGGAGCCTCTGTGGGGAAGCACTAGGCACACAAGCACGAGGACCTAGTAGATCCCAGCACTGTGACAACAAGATGCTGGAAAGAAACAAGAGAAGCCATGCTTCCTGGGCCAGGAACACCAGGGAGGGCATTGGAGAAGAGAAATGAAGAAAAACAAAGCAGACACACACATGAAAATGATGGGGTAAAGCTCATGACTTTGCACAGTAACAAAAAAAGACACAATTTTTTAATAAGTTCAGATTTTTCATGTGAGGCTGGTGGCCTGGCCCACTGAGTAAAGGTTCCTGCTGCCAGGCCTAATGGCCTGAGTTCAAGTCCCAGGACCCACATGATGGACGGAGCTAGCATCTGAAAAGTGTCCTCTGACCTCAAGGTGCCCGCCATCACATACACACGTGCACACACCACAGAAAAATAAAGATATTTAATTAAAAACTGAAAGATTTTTATACATGAGCCAGTAGCGAGAGTGAGAATTGAAAGAGTTAAGGACTTGTTAGCTTGTACACAATTCCTTTTTTTAATTATCAGACTTCAGAGGTTACATTTTTAGCTTTCCTAGCACAAATCTGTTACCAGAGATGAGAAGGTAATTAGGAGAATTGTTTTTAGTGCCATATAAAGAAAATGATAGGTACATTTGAGGCTTAACTTTTCTTTTACTATTGAATATGTTTTGCTTTTGGCTGAAGAAGAAAGAAACAGCTACGTTAATGCTTTGTTACCTTAAAGGTAAGCTGATTCATTAATTTGTTAATTTTGGAATAGTCTGAAGACCTCAAGTCCCTTACATAATTATTTCGAGTACAGTAATGTACTTTAAAACAAAATAGTATATAAAGTCTGTACTTGAGTCATTTAATTATCAAATATTCATATAATACCTGCCATAGTCCCCAAATATGTTCTTGAGTTACATCAGCAAACAAAACAAGCTAGGATACTTGCCTTGATGGAGCTCTCATTGTAAGGTAATGTTGGAAATAGTATGAATTCTGAGTACTAGCCATGGGTAGACAAGCCATGTGACACATAGATGGAGCAGGGTGTTGTGAGGACACCAGTTACGGCCCAGCTACAAGTTTCCCAGGTGGAGTTATTTTAGTGGAAGTCATCTAGAGGAAGCCCAAGGCAAAGGTGGATGTTATAAACCAGGAGACCAAGGAAAGGGAAGCAGCAAGTTGGTTAATTGACAGTACTTCATTCTAGTGAGAGCATACTTTTTAGTGGAGAAAGGAGTTGTATGCAAGACTGGAGGAGTTAACGGAGTTGCACCATGAATGGCCTTAAAAGTAAACCATAAAAAGAAGTTTGGCATTTAAAAAGAGTCACTACAGTGTTTATTCTGCAAATTTATCCTTCAGATTTAGGCCTACACCAAAGTTAGGTAACATCACAAAGCTAATTTTAGATCTTCAAAATAAACTGTAGCCTATTATTTTTAGATCTGGTAGCCTGCCTAGTTTGCATTGTGCATTCTTAGTGTTTTGTTAGTGGTGTGCATATCCAAGGACAGAACAGTGTAAGCCTTGGCACTGTGTGGTGACACTCTGGAAGGCCAGCACATGAGTCGTGCTTGTTAGCCATTCATATTTCATTCTCTTAAAGCCACGAAGTCCTTGGCACTTGGCCATTCAAACAAAGTTTTATCGCTGGTACTCTAGGTGAAGCACCATACAAAGTAAAACCTGCGCTGTTCTGGTGAAGGCTGCCCACTCTGCCTCTCTGCCAAGAATTGTATGACTGCTAAGGACCAGTGACAGGAGTGGGAGAAATGTTAATAACCCTTTCGTTTATTTCAAGACAGGTTCGATGTCATGCTATATGTCTGAAATCCCAGCACTCAGAGGCTCAGGCAGTAGGCTAAACTGGTCTACATAGTAAAACACTTTATCTTACGTGCAGACCTTAACAATAATAAATAACAAAGCATCCATGTCACACTAACCAACCCAAAAGCTATTTCTGGAGAGTAGAGCCATGTTGTAATAGGATTGTTGTCAGTAGTAGCTGGGTAACATGTGTTACTTCTGAAGGACTTAAGCTATACTCAGATCTTTTCCATACCCCTTATACGTGTTATTCATAGACTTTATAGTCCTCACCACTACACACGATGGACACTGTGAGTGCTCAGTGCTCACAGAAGGAAACAGGTGTCCGCACAAAGTCAGTCATCTTTTAATTGACTACAGTGATTGGTGTTGCTTCAAATGTTGAAGTTCTTAGAAAGGTGGGCATCACCTTGCAGAGCTTCCTTTTGATGAGGGTGTGTCAGGGCATTGTGCCGAGGTGGTGACTTAGAGGAGGGCAGAGTCTTCATCTTGTCACAGAGTGTTAAATCTGTGAGACAGCTGGTTGAACAGTGGGTGGAGCTTATTTGTTACATGAGAGACTGAAAGGAATTTGTGACAGCAAGTTGAGGTCGATTTCCAAGTAGTTCTTGTGTTAAGAACAGAACGGCAGCAGCCAGAGGAGAGAGGAAGATCTGCAGTTTGTTTAAATTTAGAAACAACAGTGGGTTTGTGGGCCATGCGATGATAAAGATGCTGGGCGAAGGGAAGAATGACTAGGGAAATCTCCAAGTCTCAATTGAGCGAACCTGAAAAGGGATTACCCTCAAATACAGGCAGCGTCGATAGTAAGAGAGTGAGGGCCACTCTCCTCATTGTTAGTCCTCTTCATCAGTCTGTCAGCCGGGTGCAGAACTGACATTTTGAAGGTAAATGACAGGATATAAAATAATCACCAAGAGACCAGAAATGAATTGCCTAGACCTAATATATAACTGCCAGGCAGCATTGTGGCCCACCTAAGGGGTTCTACTCATAAATGTAAGACAACACAGGTTTTTCTTTTTCTCCTGGCACACTGGATACATTAGTACTGACACTATGGGTGAGTTCCGGGACAGGCTTCAACACAGAGAAGAGAGTTGCTTAGAGAAGCCTGGGGCTGAGGAACATAGGATCCCTACCCTGTCCCCCTCTAGATTTAGCCGTAGGAGCAGTATAGGACACAAACATGGCTTAAGGAAGCAAAAGGAATACAGAGGATGTTGCTGGGGGCTGACTGATTTCTAGGTGGCATGGTAGTCACAAAGAGAATTTTACAGGTTATAGAGATGGCTCATTGCTTAAGAGAACTTGCTCTTGAGGGGACCTAGGTTCAATTCCCAACACCCATATGATAGCTCACAAGCATCTGTAACCTTAGTTCCAAGGAATCCAACAGGAGTGTGTGGTGCACATACATGTGTGCCAGTAAAGCATTCAGACATGTAATGCAAAATAAATACATCTAAAAAATATTATTTTTCCAGAGATATGAAGTTCTTACAGTTTACCAGACAAAGGGCCTTATATATTTTAATGAGTAGATTGACTAAAGCGTAAATATGGGGCAGGGCGTATAACTCTGTAGGAGAGCATCTCTTAGCATGCACAAACCTACTGTTTCAATAGACTACTGCTGAACAAGAAGTCTTAAAATGCATTGGAAGCTGCCAGGCAGTGGTGGTACCACCTTTATTTCCAGCACTTTGGAGGCGGAGGCAGGCAGATCTCAGTGAGTTCAAGGCCAGCCTGGTCTACAAAGCAAGTTCCAGGATATCCAGGACTGTTACATAGAAAAACCCTGTCTCGGAAAACCAAAGTAGAAAAGAAATGCATTGGAAGCTACCCTGCATCACTTGTTTATAATAGGACTTTTTTTTTTCTTTTAAAGTAATAGAAAAATCAACTCATGAAATTTTCTGTGTTTTCCTATTATTTTATATTTCGTCATTATTATCAATCATAATAAATTAACTTAAAGGTTTTAATCTCTTAGTCTATATACCTCTTAAAGTAATTATGACATCAGTTCATCTCGTGTCTTGAGCTTAAAGTAGCAATGCTGAGGGTATTAGTACATACTTGTCACTTGGCTGATAGGACAATGTGATGATATATTGATTTGATGACAAAGCTCAGGCAACCAAATAATTCCCAAAAATTAAGAAAACTTCATTTTTACAATACTACCTACTATTTAGCTTTTCTTTGTTTTTATTTATTTTGTTTCCTCACAGAGAGGAAGAGAGATTAATATCACACGCATGCACGCACGCACGCACACACGTACACCCAGGACAAATATATTCTTGGCAGTATTTAAGAAGAAATAGCCACACACATATACCCCAGGAAGGAATGTTAGCCAAAATGTTCTTTAATGCAAACCTTCGTGGATTTTCTTTTTGAGTGCCACCCAAGAAGGAAGGGGAAGACAGATCCACACTTCCTGCCTGAAGTATTAGGGTCTGTTAAATCTTCCCTGTGGGGGGGAAGTTGGCAAACAGTGCCATCTAGTGGTGACAGTGAGTAATTTAATCACTTGAAAATAGATAATTGAGGGTTTGGTTTTTTGTTTTTGTTTGTTTGTTTTCCAACAGTTTTCCATCCAATTATCTTTCTAACAACAATCAGACTTCAGGGACACCTGTGGCATCTGCGTTTTCAAATGCTATTGGCCCTTCTGCGATGGCTTCAACAGGTAGCCTAGTAATCAACTCTCCTTCCAACCTCAACGACCTTAAAGAATCAAGTGGCAGCAGGAAGGCTAGGGTTCTCTATGACTATGACGCTGCGAACAGTACTGAACTGTCACTTCTGGCAGACGAGGTGAGTGTTTCACAGACAGACACATGTAGTCTGATACTAGGACAAAATGGAAGTTTCTCATTACTGACTTAAAGTAGCAATGCTTCATTTATTATGAATGCTAGTAGAGCAATAGAAATAATGTTTTAAATATTTATGCATATAAGTTCTACCTATGTTTAAAAACTGCTACTGGTAAAATCCTTAGATTTTTCAGCTAGATGTAAATTTTCAGCTAAATGTATAAAACTCTTAAATAATGAATAGCTTAAACATATTTAATATAAATTTGATTTGTTTGCTGTAAGCTTGTTTTAAATATAGTTAATAACTGGAAATATTATATTTTGTAGGTAATCACTGTGTTCAGTGTCGTTGGAATGGATTCAGACTGGCTAATGGGGGAGAGAGGAAATCAGAAAGGCAAGGTGCCAATTACCTACTTAGAACTTCTCAATTAAATAGGGAAATCATGAACGATTACCTATCATGACACCATATTTATATACAGTAACTCTAAAGCAGGCTTAAGTACCTTTCATGTTCATGTCATAAGGAACTGAAAAGAAAAACTACAAGCCATCAGAAACTGGCCATTCTGCCAATAAAATTGCATGGTTAATACTTCATTACAGAATTTATGTTAGAGATTTCATGACAAGAATGTTTTCTTACACAATTCTCTTTTTACTGAGATTTCACTAACAAGCCACTTCTACTTTTGAGCCCCAATTTAAAAACAAAAGGATTGTTTTCTACTGAATTTTTCATTAACAGCAAGCTTTTTCTTTTATGCAAAATAAATTTATTGTGCATGATTATAGTGACTCATTTTTTAGGTATAATGGCCAAAGAATAAAGTTAAAAACTCATTTTTACCTTGATGCCCAGTAGGAATTAGATGACTTAAATACTGTGCTTAAGTAGGGTTTCTTGGCTTTGGAGTTTTGTTTTTATTTGGTTTGGTTTGGGCTTGTTTATTTTTAAAACACCACTGGATAGTTTCTTTTAAACCTAAGTCCTTGAAAAGTGTTACTTCTTTTCATAATGTTGTTAAGGTTGCAGAACCCTGGGGACAAATTTATTCACAAAGAATAATCATAAGATTTTTCAGTTGGCACAATTTGATGCATAATCAGAATTGCATCCATTAAGAACATACTACACTATAGTAAAGATATATTATTGAACAACAAATGTGTGCAAAAAAAGGGTTAATGCAATAGGGTTAATTATGGGGTAAGTCATATGCAATGAATGTAGCTTATCTTCACCTGGGTCTCTAGTTATGAAGTACACCCTCTGGAGATTACTAATGATACATCTGAAGCCGGAGAATTGCTATGAGGACCATGCTATACATCAGCAGTTGTTGCTCTAAATTGCCAGTTGAGAAATTCTTTTGTTAGGGCTTCAGTTCTCACCCATCAATCATCCACCATCCATCCATACATCCATACATCCATCACCCACCATCCATCCATCCATACATCCAAAAGACATTTGTTGAGAACTAGCTACTTTGTTGATCCAACCAGGTGTACTACTTACTATGAACAAGATGCTCCTAAAGAAGACAAAATAATAGCCTATAACAGAATATTATGATTGAAGAAATAGAAAGTACTGTGTTAGGAATCACCTCATTTATATCTAAGAAGTCAGAAATAGACATAGGTAAAAAGAAAAAGATGTACTGGACTTGGAACCAAGAGAGCTTAAGTTTGTTTAGATTAGCTTAACAATAAAGTTCAAAAGTGTAGTTCATTCATTCAGAGATTCTAGAATTGTAAACTTTTCAACTCTGAGAAGTGATATTTAAATGGCATTTGTAAGCATCCATTTGTGTTAAGAGCACCTATGAGCTCAGTAAACATGGAAAATATAGTTCTTGGTCCCAGCTTTAACAGCCCCTTGTATCTATGCCATAAGTTTTATAGTTGTGTAAGCCTCTTACTCACACTTGAGTTACATACTTAAACAACTGGAGATGGCTCCTGTTCTGTGGATCAAGTGAATGAAGCTTTTGTAGTACCATCTGTAATTTTTGTCCACATTTAGGTTTTCAGGGACTGTAAAACTTTGGATGAGTTTTAACCGCAGCTTTAGTTCAGCAAATTAGGTTTTTGGGAAATGGAACAGCACAGGAGAAAATATAAATATGGAGTGAATTGATCCTGGGTTCATATGCAGCCTTCCTTGCACACTGGACTCCTTGGGCTTCAACTTGGATATATAACTGCCATTTTTTTTTTAAAGGTAAAATGGGGGTAATAAGTATGCCACCTAATAGGAGACTTCCACAAGTGTTACTTTTTGTCTTTTGCTCCTAAGCAAAGATCTGGCACATAGTAAACATTTTATAAACACAGATGCCCCTTTCTAGTCCCTGTAGCTAGTCCACCTTGTTGTGTAGGCTTTGTGACTGGACGAGAGGAACCTCTTTTACCCTGTGCTTATTCCTGTCCAATCCACTCTCCACCCACTGCACTCAATGAGTTCTGTAGTAGGGCCTCACACTTTCCACCAGGAGTGTTGGTTCCCGAGGCCACACTGACCTCCCTCCCACAGGATTCATAGGGAGGTATTAAAGTTAAAGGGTCCTTGTTCACCACAAATCCGCCATAGTCAGTAGGCATGTTCTTTTATTTTGTCGTTGTTGTTGTTGTTGTTTTAATGGGGTTTTATTGTTTGGCTGGGTGTTTTGTTTAATTTTAGTTTTAGCTTAAAGTTTAGTTTTTGCTCAGGTAAAGGCCCAAGGGGATTGTTAAGCATAGAAGAAAGCTCTTGGGAAGCCCATTAATTCATGTGCAATTCAGAGTTACTTAAATAAACCCTCAGCCCTGAGCATAGTAGTGAGTGAAGGGTTTGTGTACTGATGAAACAGTAAACAAGGCGGTATTTATAGGCTCTCCACAGACTGAAAAGGAAATAGATTGTATCCACCTTTGTCCTTAAAGTGTCTACCCACAAGGTTATAGGTAAAACATTTTGATGGTGCTAATAAACAAATCCATACTGCAGATAAAGTTCCTGAAGTGAGTGTGTATCTCACTCTGGGGAACAAAGGGAGTAAACCTAGAGCCACAGCCCCGGTGTGATAGAGCCCGTCCTCCCCGTCTGTGTTAACCTTCAGGTAACAGGAACAAAGGGAAGCTAGTGTAGCCAGGAGAAGATGACAGGGTGGACAGGAGATGTGCTTATGCAGAGTCTCACAGAATGCCACACTTTGCTGACGTGCAGTCCCTGAAAATCCCCAGCACCTGAAATTTTTGCAGTGAGTTGCCTAGTTGGACAAGCCAGAGTGAAGAGCTGTCAAGGGGAGATGCCTGACAGCCCCCTTTGCTCCAGGCCCTCTCCTTCACTTCCCGGCACTCATGTCCGCATGAAACTATGAAGCTATGGAAAGTGCCGTGCTTGCCCTTCTCTCTCTGTCCTAGTTGAGTACAAGATCTCAAACCAGCAGTATCAGCATTGCCTGGAAACTTGTTGAAAATGCTATTTGCTGTTTTCAAATAGTCTTCCTTATTTATACTTTTGTCTACATGGGCCTGTGGAATTAATAGTGTTAATCTACCATGTGAAAGCTTTTTAAATATTGTAAGACAAAAAAGAATTTTACTTTATTTTCTATTCATTGTAATTATATTGTTTTATAATTTATTTATTTAGCATGTACTTGTCACTCTAGAATGAAGCCTTTCCAAGTGAGAGACTTTAATTCTGTTCATTATAAATTACTCTTAGCACACAGCCCGACTCTTAGTATGTGCTCAATAAATACATTGTGGGTAAAAGGAAAAAAACTGCTGATACCTATGTCTTCTCCCCCACAAGATCTACTGAGCCAAATTCTGGAAGCAGGGCCCCCCAGTTGTACAGTAAGCCATTTGTGTAATCCTACTGCAGTCGTGCTGAGAAACCCTGCAGAACTAACAGAGCTGACCTTCCACCCTCAGGCAGCTGCAGTTTGGCATCTCGTGACAATTTCCCCTTGCCTTCTGTAAGCCTTACCACCACTCTTAATGGGTTGAGATATTTTCAGATCAGTCTTAGAAGTGGGTGTGAAGGTGGAAGGATGCATTTAGTGTCAGAAAGGAAAATATTGCCTGGATGCTACATAAGGTCTATAGAAATGTGGAGCCACTGGCTAAAGCAGCAGGGTTGCAACCCCTGTGGGAATCAAATGACCCTTTCATAGTGGTTGCCTAGAGCCATCTACATATCCGGTATTTACATTATGATTCATAACAGTAGCAAAATTACTGTTATGAGGTAGCAATGAAAATAACTGTGGTTGGGGGTCATCACACCATGAGGAACCGTATTAAAGGGTCACAGCATTAGGAAGGTTGAGAACCACTGGTCTAAACAAAGATGAGCTCTAACCACCATATTTCCACACAGTGCCTTTGAACTGGTGTTTAGCATCAAAACACCCAAATAAACCAGTGAAGCAGTATAGACTAACATATCTACATCACTGTTCCTCAGGTTGCTAAGCTGTACTCTTATTCCTACATCAAAGTAGACTTTTTAAGAATTGTTAATGCTTTTTTATTAATACAAGTCATAATATGCTGATGAAAAGAAAAATTTGGAGGTAAAAATACAAAAGTGGCCTACGATTCCACCATCTGAGGATAATGCTGGGACAGGTGTGTGGCCTCCAGACTGTACCTTTAAGGATTTTTTTTTTAATGGGATCAAATTGTACATGCTGTTTTGTAACTTCTCACTCAACAGTACCATGACGATCTTGCTGTGTCATATGTATTTCTACATCTTTTTTAATGGCTGCATGATACTTCTTCATATGTGCCACATTTTATTAAACTACTGTTGAATTTTTAGGTTTCCAGTTTTTCACTAATAAACTGCTTTGAAGAACATTGTGCCGCTAACCCTTTGTGTTCCTAGTTATTTCCACGAGTGCTATGAAGTGGGGTTGCTGGTAGACAAAGTATAGCAATTTGTAAATGATTCTGCCACTGCCACTGCCACCATGCCCCCAGAAAACATTTAGCACTCTATGCTCTATGAGCAATGTGTGAAGAGATGCTGTAGAGAGAGATGGGGTGTGATGGAGGGGAGGGATATCCAACTGAATGCCTTTGTGTCTTTGCTTTGGAAAAAGACAATTGAAAGTCAACAGTAATTGTCTTCATTTTTTTCTCTCTCTCTGGCATGGGCTTTGTGATACTTTGGAAATGTTTATACTGCTAACCTGCCTGAAGCTTCTATGCAGCTTCCTTATTTTTTGCTGAGGTAATAGGAAGAAGCAGTCTTAGACTCGTATCCTGTGGTAGTTTTGAGACAGACTGGTGTTTTCGAGAACATCATCAAGTACGCTTGGAAAGGTAGACAGTGTTGGCTTTTCCCCTTGGTTGTCTGATGTTAGTTATTAGACCTCTTAGAGGCCTCATCTCTAGAATGAAAGTAATATGAACTATCTGTAGAATTGAAGACCAGATACATTATAGACCAGCAGGTGGTACCCAATTTGTAATAAATAACTATCAGGGTTCCAAATAAGTGTATCAGAACAATTACTAAGTGTATCAGAACAATTGCTATTGCAAATTAATACTTCCTTGAAAGTTGTCACAATGACTGAACATTGTCTTGTATGTTCTACTGTACCTATAAAGTCTGTTTATACATTCCTGGCTCATTTTGCCAGTCAAGTGTTCAGAATAGTTTCAAGGAAGTGGCTAGTGGGACATCCAGCATTACCATGCTTTTGCAGCAGTGGGCTAGAGTAGCAATTGTCTTTTGAGGGGGAGGGGATTCATCAGCCTACTAAAACTTCTAATTGCAGCTGCCCTACTTTTGTGATTTGGAAGGCTGGGCCTCTGAAGACTCCATTCAGTGCAGGTAATTTTAGTTAACTAATTGCAGGAGCATCTCTACAGATAAGAACACATAACTGATTAGTCTGTACTGATAGAAAACTATTCAGAAAATGAATTTAGCTTGCTGGCAGTTTTTCCATAAAGGTACCTGCTCTAGGGTTAGAGTTGCAGTACAAAACCCAGAGAAGCAATTCATTTTAATGGTTGGATGAATCCCAATACATTTAAATTAGCTATCTGGTTTGTTGGCTATGAGCCAAACTGCTCAGCCGATGAGGAAAGAAGGGGCCTGGAAAGAAGGGAAGTTGAAAGGAGGTTTATGAGGACAAGACAAATGACTGGTCAGGGACTTGGCTGATGGTTCTAAGAGGCCTCTTTTATTAGAGCCTGCCACACAGCATTTTAGGGCTACTGTGTCATTTCCTGGTGACACTTTTCTGGACTGAGCTGTGCCAGGTAGTTCCCAACATGGTGTACTTTGATGCCTGTTGCCTTCTGTGTGTAAGCTCTTCTAGCATCTCCTGAAAACCAAATTTGTCCAGAGTAAACTCAACACTTTATGAAGATATTCTGGGTTTTCTCTGGCAAAATTATATGCACGTATATAACTGCCATCAAACACACACACACACACACACACACACACACACGCACGCACGCACGCACGCCATTGTGGCACATGCTGCCTTGAATTACCTGCAAACTTTGCTGAATCTCAAGGACAGGGACTTTGTGTCCCCAAGTAGCTAGTGCATCCATAAATCTTTATAGTCTTCCAATTTACATAAAAGATCTACTGACTGTGTGTAGGTATATTAGGTCTATTTGGCTTAAGAAACAGACTTTGACTAAATATAGTCAAAGCACACTTACTTTTTAAAAAGTAAACCCCACAATCCACATTCCCATTGACTTACTTATTTTGCATGCTGGTAAGCAGTAACTTAGCATAGAATGGACTTTGCTGGTTACATTTGAACTTCAAATTTACCATCCAACTCCCAAATAAATCAGAGTCTTTTTATAAGCTTGGCTTGTTTCTAGCCAGCTTTTCTTAAATTATCCCATTTATCTTTTGCCTCCTGGGCTTTTATCTTTCTCTATTTTATTTACCTTTCCTTTCTTTCTTACTCTCTAGTTGAGTGGCTGGCCCATGATGCCCTCCTTCTCTTGCTCCTCTTGCTCCTCAGTCTCTTCCCATTTATTCTCTATGCGTACCAGCCCCACCTGTCCTTTCTCCTGCCTAGCCATTGGCTGTTCAGCTCTTTATTAGGCCAATCAGGTATTTTAGACAAAGTAACCACAGCTTCACAGAGTTAAACAAATCAACATAAAAGAATGTAACACATCTTTGCATCATTAAACAAATGTTCCACAGCATAAACAAAAGTAACACATCTTTAAATAATATTCCACCTACACATAACACACACACAAACACACACAAACTAATGGAAGCCCTCAGTTGACAGAGACCTTGCCCACACACGGCTTCTTACTGACCCCCTAACCCATCCCCTCGATCATTGGATGCATACCACCTCCAGTGCCTAGTCATTACTGCCTCAGACTGGTGGAGGTCAGAGTATCAAGGTGTGAAAGCCACATTTCTCCCTATGCTCAACCAAAGGCTCTTACCACTCAAGTACAGAAACCTTTCGATTTTACACACAAAGCTAATTCTCCGAGGAGAGCACCTTCACCAGGATGGCTAGTAATAGATAAATGCCATAATACATCTACAAAACAACAGAAAGCACTTTAGCACAATGTCCACATTCTAAAGAGGTAGGATGGGTGGGTTTTGGTCATTCTGTGGGTTATGGATGTTTGACATCATTTAAGGGGCATATAGGATAAAAAGACAACTATTAACCTCAAATATTTTACATTGGTATGGATTTTGGTATACCGATACAAAGTTATTTTTGTTATACTGTATGTATGTTTCTACTCATTTGGGGTATTGTACCTATACATTTAAAAATGTAATCTATAATTAGAAATGCAGGTTAGTATTTCTTGTAGTCATACGAGGTATGTTTTCAAGGTTAAACAGATATGTTCAGATAGATAGATAGATAGATGATCTTCAACCACTTCAAAGACCTACAGAATATAGCATTTAAGGTGTTTAACAACCTAAGGCTTTTTATGATAGTGAGACATGTCTGCTCCTGGCAGCACCAATTTACTTCAGAGAAGATGATGGGCATCGAAGAAACTCCTTATGGAGTTTCCTTCATTGTGGCAAAGAAACTGTTCTTGTCTTGACTGCTGACAGTATGTTGTACATACTGAACAGACATGATACAAAGGAAAAAGACTGTCGAACTTTGCCAAGATAAGGTTGGACAGTCCTTCAAAATTCCTGCTTCATAGAAAAGTCTGCCACACATTCTAAAGGACACACAAGAAAGCAACTGCTGAACTTTTCCAAGACTAGGCAGTACACTCCTTCAAAACTCCTGCTTCATAGAAAAGTCTGCCAGATACTCTACACCTGTAGGCTGAAGATGGATGCCCCGAACCTTTTTTTTATTTAAACAAAAAGGGGGAAATGTTGTGGAATATTGTTTTAACTAGGCAAAGATGTATTAAATTTGTTAATGCTGCAGAATATTACTTTAACTGTGTAAAGGTGTGTTAACATTTGTTTATACTGCATTTATTTAATTATGTGAAGATGTGTTCCATCTGTTTCACCTTGCCTGCCTGAGGCACCTGATTGGTCTAATAAAAAACTGAACAGACAATTGAGGTTCAAAGTTTCTTTCTTTGTGGTACTAAGGATCAAACCCAGGAACTTGAGTGTGATTGGCAAGGCACCCTACTACTAAGTTATATCCCTAGTCCCCAAAAGCTTTTTAAAAACCTTTAGTGTTGTAGTAAACAAACAGTACTCATCCAGTACTACTCCCTTGGAATAGTGACTTCCTTACTATACCAACAATGCTACACTGCAGAGTCTGTTGAACTTACAGCAGTCAGCTCAGGACTGATAAGTTGGAAAGACCATTGGTGATGTTTGGATCAGAGAACATCAACCTCCAAATGATTCTTGCATGCCAATGCAAAAGCGTTTCATTTTATTGATGTATTTGGAGTCGGGGTGTGCAGGTGTGTAGAGACTAGAAGACGACCTATAGTGCCCTACTCTATCCTACTGTCTTATTGCATTGAGACAGGGTCTCTCACTGAACATGGAGTTAACTAATGGCCAATGAGCCCCAAAATTCTTCTGTCTCTGCTCTCCCACAGTGCTGGCGTTGCAGACATGTTACTATACCCAGCTTTTAATGTAGTTTCTGGAGATTGGAGCTCATGTCCTCCTACTTGCTCAGCATGAGCTCTTTACCCATTGAGCCAACACCCTAACTCCCATAGAAGTTCAAAGTTTCTTTCTTTGTGGTACTAAGCATCAAACCCAGGGCCTTGAGTGTGATGGGCAAGGCACCCTACTACTAAGTTATATCCCTAGTCCGCAAAAGCTTTTTAAAAACCTTTAGTGTTGCTGTAAACAACAGTACTGCTCCTAACAGACCTGTGTTCACATTAGAAAGCCAGCAAGCTTGGCTTCTTCCCTTTGTAGTCATTCGCTTTATTTGATCACAGGAACCACAGTGTCTGGGCAGGACTTCCTTTTCTTGTCTTCCCTACCCCTTTCCCCAAAGGTGTCATTAGCAGAAACATTAAAAGATTAGAGAAATGAAATAGTAACAGCTACAATGATTTATGTGTTAACTGCAGAGGTGGACAGTGCTAAAGGTGATCTCACCCATCTCATTTGCACCCTGTGCTCCACAAAAGGGGTAATGAAGGCTCTTAACTCACACAGCTTGGGAGAAAGGCAGAGCCTAGGTCCTGACCCACATCTCCCCATTTCCAAGACCTTGCTTTAGAGGTTTCCACAGGGGACTATTAGCAATTAGCAAGATTTAGGACAGGGAGCAGTGATTAATCCCTTCTGCAACAGACAACTCAAGCATAGTCCGCCGTCTGCCGTCCCAGAGTGTTTCTCCAGGAAGCCAGTTCCCTTTCCTCTGGTCCCCTACCTTGTATTTGTTCCCTCTGGAACCTGCAGCCGTTCACTGGGACCCTTCCTAGCTGCATCTTCAGTGTAGGAGACAGTAACTCTCCTCTCTTCTCTAATGTGCTCATCTCAGCTTAGTGGCTTGGACAGTCTCTTGAGAGTCAATCACTTAAAACATAGGGGACACATTCATAAGCTACAAATGCTGATGAGGCTCCCAGGTGAAGGCCCTGAAATCTTTCAAGTCTATAATTTACCTAAAACTTGATAGTGCCGCCATAAGAACACTGTAGAGTTCTGGAAGACCCTTCAGTTCCTCTGAACCCATTCACACTCCTCAAGTCTATGAAATGACAAGAATATAGTAGGAAATGAGAGTGTTTTTGTAATTTTTATTCAACTTGTTCTTTTTTTTTTGACAATTTCATCCATGTAGCTCATTCAGATGACTGTTCCCAACCTTCTATTATCTATCTTCTTCCTATCCCTATTTCTCCCTACAAATCCCTTTTACACACTTAGGTCTTTTTGAGCTACTTTGTGACCCCGTAGTTTTAACCAGGGCCATCTGTGCAAACGTGTTCGGAGCTATCCATGAGAGCCCAGTGGATTGAGATACGATGATATTTAATGAACACTTAACAAACACTTGAAGCACTCCTGTGCACTGTCACACTTAAGCTTCCAGCATCTCTAGGCGGCCAATATAATTTGAGACTCAAGCAACTGAGGCAAGGGCAAGGAGCTAAAGATACAGCTCCATTGGAAAAATGCTTGCCTTGCAAGCATGAAGACATAAGCTCGATTCCTTAATGAAACTCGGAAACAAACAAAAAACAAACAGGTGCTGGTGCGCTTGTGTCACTCCAGTGCTGGGGAGGCAGAAGCAAGTATGCCCCTTGGTTAGCTTGCTAGCAATCCTACTCACTTGGTAAAGGCCAGGTCACTGAAAAAGCCCATATCCAAAAAGCAGGCAACTCCTAAGGAATGACACCCAGGCTGTCTGTTCTCTGGCCCCCATGCACACACATGCACACACATGCAGAAAGCATATGGAAGTTAAGTGCCTTTTCATCATCCCAGAGACACTAAGTGGCAGAAGGAGGAACAGAGTGCAGTTGTTTGAACCTAGAACTGGTGTGATGAACAATTGGCTTTGCTCACTAGGAGAGTTGGGAAGACCTGAGTCTGAGTGGAAGCTCTCAGAGTGCACAGCTGGGAATCCCTCAACCGAGAGGTGTCAAAGGGGGCTGGATGGGAGTTCCATGAAGGCTGAGTGAGACCCAAGACCCCACATCATGAAGGAAGGAGGGTCACCAGACACCAGGAGGTTGTAAAGAATGAGTAGACAGATCAGACGTACTTGGTTTACCAGCACCCAGGTTGCCGGACAGGCACATGCTGACAGGCACCCAGGGACATACATGACAGCAGGAATGGGCTATACACAGGTAGGCACAGGCACACATGTAGGCTGGCAGGTACCCAGGCAGAGATAAGCTCACACAGCCCTACAGCGACTAGCAAAGGTAAAGAATGAAAGTGAAGGCCATATTTGTACAAAATCACACAAAAGCAGCACTTTACCAGGAATGGATATATAAAAGATTATGTCACTGCTTACATTTGGGTCCCCTAGACACATGATGTCAGTTATTTTGCACTGACTCGATATGCCAAGGTATCTAGTGTTTGCCATCTTGGCCCATCCCAGACATTCATATCAGTGTCATACTGCCTAAACATAAACCGGCTTGAACTTCCCTCTGTTCCATTCAGATGTCAAAGAATATGATGCTCTCCACTCGGGCTTCCATGACTTCAAGAGAGGAAGTGGTGGCCGGTGCCCAGGAAAGAGTAGGGCTCCTTTCACTGAAGAGTAAGCCTCCTCCACGAAACATCTCCTGCTCCCCTGGCAGGACTGAAGGTGAGTTACGTAACTTCTAGATGAATAAGGGTTATACAAACCCCCACCTGCAGGCTGCTGGTGGCAATGAAATGAAACGTCTTAAGTACTTTACTCTGTCCGGAATCCTCCCCCTGTGCATGTCTTCCTGTGACTATTACCACTCTGACTGTATGATACCCTTTGACCCTCCCCCCCAAAAAAAGGCCAAAACCAGGGGGAAACTCTTCTCAGCTGACATCATTGTAGCAAGTTGGAGGGAAGAAACTTATTTTTGCCTCTGAACCTTGAGGTAGGAGCTCCCTTGCCTCTCCTGACAGCCCGTCACCAGCATCACCAATGAAACACAGAACAACTGGACTCGGCCCTGCTCTTGTTTCTGCTTTAGTGTGCTCAGGAGTGAAGGTAGAGGTGGAGAAATGAAAGGAAGCAGTTGGTGGACAAAAAGAACAGCTGCCTACCCCAGCAGGCCCTGGGTAATTAGATGCAGGCCAGCATTTACTATGAGCTAGTTGCTAAGTGGAGTGGTAGATGGGGTCTGGGACAAAAAGACAAACACAAAAAAAAAAAAAAACAGAGGAGCTAAAACAGATGCCCCTTGAAGGTTCTCATCAAAAAAATCTAATGACCCATACTCTGCGGCTGCAATGGTGTTTTAGAAACTAAACCGCAATTCTTCATGTCTAGCTCCAAAGGCACGTCCCATCCACAGGCAGAGAAGCATTGCTGTCTTTGCCAGCACCGACATTATTCTTTGATAGACTTTAAAAATCCCATCCACAGGCAGAGAAGCATTGCTGTCTTTGCCAGCACCGACATTATTCTTTGATAGGCTTTAAAAAAAAAAAATCCAAGATAGATGGACCTTAAGCTTGACATTTGGTTTCATTCTCCCCTGATGTATAGAAACTACGGAGGCTTTTGGAAGACGCAACAGAGAGATTATATGTAAATCAATAACAATTTTTCTTTTGTGCTCAAACCATGAATACTGACTAGCTAGTTTTCATGACATCCCAATAAGATGAGTGACTTTAATGTCCCTGTTCCAATTCAATTATGCTTCAGTGTTTTAATTGGCCTAACTGATTTTACTTTTCTCCAGAGAATGAATTTTTGCCAGATCCCTGCATTTTCATCAAATTGTCTTGTCACAGCTGAGTACAGGCAGCACAGACAGCTAAGTGCTATGGAATGAGGCAGCCAAAATGGAGAACCGGGTAAGGAGATCACTGATGAGGGTTAACAGGCATGGCTGGAAGGGCAGGTGAAGCGACCCAACCCAGCTGGCAGTGTGGGGGATGAGCCGGGCAGGCACAATAAAATAAAATAAAAAGGCAACAGGCATAGAAAACATGGGCACTGGGGTAACAGTTACAGTAGAGGAACGTATGTGTCCGCCTTCCCATCTCCATCTCGCAGAGCAGTGTTCTCCTCTGCCTGTTGGGTATAGGCTTGACCATGTGACTTTCTTGTAGAATGAAATGTTAAGTGCATTAGTTTGTTTTGTGTTGCTTTAACAGAATACCCGAAACTGGTCAGCAGTGTTAATCCTCTCCAGAGCAATTGTAACCCAATCATGTATTCAACCCCACGTCTTCAAAGTACCACCGTCTCTCATTACCGTGATGTTGGAGCACATGACGATATCTGGCTTTGTCTCTCCATTTTTAATGTATTGGCTTTAAAACAAACCTGCAAAGTGGATTTGATCGCATTATTTCCCCTCTTCTCCTCCCCACCCTTACCGCCTCCCTACCCACCCAGCATGTAAAACATCAAGTCTTATTTGGTGCTGCCATCTACTCTAAAGCCTGGGGCCTGTCCTGGAGTGTGGTTGGAATACCCCGTGTCACTCCATTGGAGAAAACTGGTTTCCCCTCCACAGTAGGTATCAGTTGCAAATACCTTCCTGCTTAGGGGAGGGACTTTGTGTCCACTCCCCCGTCTGTGCTGGGATCCACACACCACCTCTTACTCTTACAATCGGACTCCTCTTCCACAGATCCTCAAGCCTTGAGGGAAAGGGTTTGATAAAAGATCCCATTTAGGACCGAGTGCTTCATGGCCAAAACCTGAAGCACAGGGACAGAATGAGAAGTAGTCTTGTAGTACATTAGCACCATTAGGCTAGGCTTTGAGGCTTCCCACGGCACCGTGAGAAGAGCAGGTCCTCATAACTCTAGTTCAGACAAGATGAAAAAACAGGCAGTTTAGCCCTAGATCACAGGGACTGCTCAGAGCCAGGCTGAACAAGATTCCATCTAGAAAGTTCTTTCTAACTCCCAAAAAGAAGCTGTTTCCTTTGCAGCATTCTTCCCAATGCCCGTGGCTTTTCCAGTCTTCAAGTCTGAACCTAAGCATTGCTTCCTCAGGGTGCCCTGCCCAACTCTCCTCCCGTCAAATGTATGTCTGCCCTTCTGTTCATTTTTTCCTAAAAACACCAGCTTTTTTATTACAAGATGATTATATGTCTGGTGTG